AGCTAGAGAAATGTGTTTAATTAATTGGTCTATGTATATTTACAGAGGTCCAGTCTGTGCCATTCTATAATGATGAATTAAACACATGTCAGCCGTGTCCCCAGGAAGCCTGCTGTGTGGTAATAAAGGAGATATTTAAAACATACACATATAGGGTCACCTGGGTGGCTCAGTCGGTTAAGTGTCTGCCTTTGGGGTCATGATCCTGGGGTCCTGGGATCAAGGCCCACATCAGGCTCCCATCCGCTTCTCCCTCTTGCACTGCCCCTCTCCACATTCGTGCTCTCTCTCCCTCAAATGGATAAATAAAATCTTTTAAAAAAAAATAAACACATATATAAATATGACTAATATAAATTGTATTAAGAATAATAAAGAAAAAGAACTGAGAATAAAGGAGAGAGAGAAATACAATTTCAATTGGCAACTCAAGTACACGACCTTGAAGCCAATACTTGGGTGTAAAGAGGTTGGTTGGGAGAGTGCTTGCCAGGAAGGGAAATGGGAGATTCTCCAAACCAATTAACATTCCCATTCAATTTGAGTACAATATTTATAATTAAATTTTAATGGCAATCTACAATGTACTTTTTATGTTTCAAATCCATTCTTATCAATACATCACATGCAATTTTAGAACAAACACTAGTTATTATAAATACAAAAGTTTCCTTGATGTTATAAAACTAAAAGAATTCCATTCAGCACATAGATAAATTTCCAGTAATAAATTAAGACGATATATGAATATATTAAAAAATTAACAGCTCTTGGAAGAATTAAGAAGATGGCTTCAACAGTTACTCCACTAACATTTAAGATACTTGTAAATACACCAATCTCATTATCTTGGAAGATGAGATTTCACTTTAATTTTTTTACTGATTTTTCTCTTAATTACTTGACCATAATGTTATGTGCCTTCTAAGTTTAAACAAGGAAACTAGAGGGGGGCAACTGAGGGGACAAATCTATTGTACAAGTTAGCAGGAAGTGTTTTGTGTTTCTGCTACCTTTTCTGGGTTCAATCCCACAGAGCATAATTTCCTGGTAAATTGGGAAAATTCTGCCCCTTGGTTTCTCATTCTCAGCTCTTCGTCAGGCAGGTCTTATCCCCACAAACCTCAAGTGCCTCCTCACTTCTCCCTCCCTCGCACAGTGCTCCTGGTACCATCCGCTCTCTCCTTCCTGCCCCTGCCCCCAGGTCCTCTGCTCATTGCCATTGCCAAGTCACTTCCCTTCTGGGTGTTTCTTTGCCTTTGAGTGCTCCTGTATTCCCAATCTGACATTAGGTTTGGAGCAAGAGAATATGTATGTGATCTTCAGAGTTGCCAATGAAAATAATAAGCCATAATTTCTGCCCTTGTCTCTAGTTCATATACCTGAAAATACAAATGGAACATATCAAGTTCATTCCAGAAGTCCTATATATTCATCTGCCCACTTTTCCTTTCTTCTGATGAGTTTTTACACTCAAAATGCAAAAATGTCGTGGAAAAAATAAAGATGATAGATACAATGTAACTTGCAAATTACAACCTGCTTAGGTATCTGATCATTCAGTTGCTAAAGGATTTGGATTTTCTTTTCTTTTTTTTTTTTTTTAGACCTCCCTAAAAACCGAGATAGGAGCGAAGGGTAGGATTTCTGGTAACTGAATTTGAAATATCAAAAGAAAAGCTCAAATACCAAAATTTTCTGCTAAGAACTCTCAAATAAGATCATAAAGGAATGACTTGCAGACTGGTATCTAAAGGCCAGTGTGACTATTCCTGCTTTAATCTGGGCGTAAATTCCTGCAAAAATGCAGGAGTGGAAAGCTATTCTGAATATCGGCAGTTAAAGTATTCTTGTGAAGTGACAGCACGTTTCTATGAGCCGGACAGGATCTTAACCCTGACAACAAGCCTAAGACGGAGGTATCGCAGTCGTTCCCATTTTACAGGTGAGGCTGCTACAGATGGAAAGATTGTCCAAGTTCCCTCAGCCAGCGAGAGGCAGAACTAGGAGTTTAGCTCAGGCAGTCCTGCTCTGGAGCCCATTTTCCCAACCCCTCAACCAAACCGTAGTGTTTTTCTAGAATCTGCTGCTTCACTTATACAATCGAGAGGAAGTCTTTGTCCCCAGAAGAGGCTGGAGAAGAGTTGCCAAATGTACGCTGCTCTGCCCTGCTTCTTCAACAAGTGTTTTTTGGCATGAGCAGAGCCCCCAGGAGCCCCTGCCCACCTCGGTCCCAGACCAGCACATGTCCCCAGGCTCTCAGCACATCCACAGGCTCCTGAATCATATAGTTGTTTCGTAAGTAAAAGGGCCTTATACATAATAAAACAATGGGTATGAGGCACACTGGCATTCAGGAGTCTCTCATTCACCCTCCTTGTTCATCTTCACCCCACAATCAGCAAGTTGTCCCAGCTTCTTAGCACCCCAGCTGTGGACCAAGATGGTAGCCTCCCAGCTGGCCTCCAGGACGCTGCCTCTCATGAGGCTTTGTCTCCTGCACGGTGCTGCCATGCTAACCTCCCTTAAGTAGTATCTTCTTTACAATGCTTCTCTGCTCAACATTTTCTGTGACAATCCATTTCCTACCTGAAAGTGGAAGGTACTTGAGAGATTATAGTTAAAATGGTGAGAAGTTGCAGTGGTGACTCCTTTTCTGAATTTAACTCTACAATACTCCCAATTACTACAACTGAAACCCCTTTTTCTTCTTTACCTTTTCTTGTAGAGAACACATTATTCCTATTCTGTTCCATAAATATGGCCCACAGTCCAAATGAATACAACACTGACTCACTTACCGTCATCACAGCGTCTCAATTCCTCCTGGATTTCCTTGTATATTTACGACTCCCCTGTCCCTGCTGAGAAGTCCCTGCTGAGAAGCCTCTGCTGTCTCTCAGACCCCTCTTCTCTGTCCTGTACATTCCCAACCTTTATTTGGAGCCTTCCCCTGAGCAGACCTTCCAGTCCATCTTAGTTCAAATCTAGCTGTTACAGCAAACCCTTCCAACTACACAACCCTCACGGATGTCCTTTTCTCCACATTCACCGGATGTGACAGGTAATAAATGATTTACTGGCATTTCTCTTTCTGCTAATAAATTTGAGTATCTTTTAAAATGTTTATTGACTATTTTGTTATTATGTTGCCCTTTATAACTGCTCATTCATCTCCTCTACTTATTTTTCTTTGGGCTTTTTAGTCTTTTTCTTTTCACTATTAAAGAACTTTTGTATATTCTAGATATGAAAATGTTCTTATCATTTGCATTACAAGTGCTTTTCCAAATATTTGAAGACAGCGGCTCTTCTTTCTACATTTTAAAAAGCTTTTCTCAGACCCTTCCTTCTCCATAGACAATCCAATATACTTAATTTACTCAAATATTTAATTTGATTCAAAATTTTTTTAAAATTTTGTTTAAAAAGTCTCTTTGGATTCTAGCAGGAATTGCATGGGTTTTTTTAGAAAAAAACTTTTTAAATTTTATTTATTTTTTTAAGTAAACTCTACCCCCAATGTCAATCTCAAACTCATGACCCCTAGATCAAGAATTGCATGGTCTACTGACTGAGCCAGCCAGGGGGCCCTTGCATGAAATTTTAAAATTAATTTTGGAAGAATTAACATTTCTATGATACTCTCAAGCTACAGCACAGTTGGTTTTCTCATTGGTTCAGATATCATTTCACGTTCTTCAGTCCGATTTTATAGTTTTCTTCGTTTACACCTCTCCATTTTGAAATGTCATCCAACTTTTGCAACTTGAGGAATATGTATTTTCAAAGTTGAAAACACCATAACTGTATAAAAGTTGCTTTTGATTCTATTATTATTCACTTGGCAAATATTATCATTTTCCATTGAAAGAGTTTAAATTCTATGGTCAGGTATGTGTAACTATCCTTTTATGGCTTCTAGATCTCCAGTCTTTTTAAGACCAAATCTGTCACCCCTATGTGGTATATATACATTCTCCTGGGTTTTCTTTTAAGATTTTAAAATTATTTTATTGTTTCTATTCCCATCTCTAATCCATCTGGAATTCATTTTGTATATAGGTTAAGATTCAGGTCCAATTTTATTTTTACCCTGATGGATGGACAGTTATGTCAGCACCATTTATGAACTAATATAACTTTTTTCCCACTGACTTGAACGAACACTTTCATCATATATTAAATTCTTATACATATTGAACTCTATTTCAGAATTCCCTATTCTATCCTACTGATCATTTTATCTCTTACTGTACTAATCCCATATTGATTTAATTTCAGTGGCTTTATATATGTTATGGTAACCCATAACTTAAGTTTTCCTTCACTGGTCTTCATTTTCATACTTCTAAAGGCTCTTCTCAGGCATTTCCTTTCCATTCAAACTCTAAGATCATTTATCCATATACTTTAAAAAATCTATTGGCTTGTAATTGAAATTGCATGACATTTGTATATTAATTTGGGGAGAATCGCCATTTTTATCTACCGAGACATTCCGCCAAAAACACGACATGTCTATACTTTTTCAGATCTTGTTTGATGTTCTTCCATAAGACTTCATTTTCTTCATTTGCGTCACCTCTTTCTTATTTTGTGACTAAACTAGAGCATATGAAAATCGATATTTTACTACCTAGTTAAAAACTGTATGTATATGTGTATAGATAGACAGCAATCTAATTATTGATCTAATCTAATTGATAGCATGATTGCCGAATTTCAGAAATCCTAGGAAATGTGACAACACGGCTAACCTCAATGAAAAAGATTAGACTTTGAGCCAGGAGAAAACTTTGTTTTATGCTTAAAACTGGACTCCTTTTATCTCTTACTGAAACTTGTAATTATTGCAATCCTATCTGAAATGGTTTCAGAAACATCATCTTTGCATATTCTTACAATTAAAGATATTATCTAAAATGAAATAGTTTCCTGTGCCACTAGAAACAAAATCTCTGAATAAAATCATTGTGGAATCGCCACTAGAGTCTTACTTGACTAGAAAGTTTAGAAGCTTCCACAGCGTGTTCAAAATCTGGTCTTCCAAGTACAGCAGGCTCTTTATTCATTACTCCTTGCCCTTTCTTGTACTCTGCCTAAAATGAATAAATAAGAGAATGTTAAATATTTCTACTTCCCAATGAAGAATTATATTAATATTAGCTGAAAAAATTATAATAGACCCTCAGTCCATAAAAAAGCATTCCTTACAACTCACCAAACGCTAAAATGCAGACTGGTAGAACAGAAATTGACTTTGAGTAGTTATGTAAACAAATTCAACCTTTTTTATAGTAAAATAATTACTAAATTTGAGTCTAGGTATCCTGTCCTCATCATTGTGCTGATGCATAATCAATGAAAAAAAAAAATTAGGAGAAATTTCTGGATAATTGAGACCCTACCTTCTGCAGACAGATAGCCTGTACGGCTCCTTTCACCTTAGGAACTGATCTAACCCCGTTTGGTTAGCATCAAGTTAAATCTTGTAAATAGCTATTAATTTTGAAGTGAGTATAGTCTCTGTTATTCAAACATTTGGTTTGTGTGAAGTCATCATTTTTAACCAGGGTACAACATATGTTTAATTAAAATGGTATTAACCAATAAGGATATCTTGGAGAAAATATAACAAGAAAACAGCCAAAATGTATAGAAAATGTACAAGGGTAAATGGTGACAAAAAAGAATCTGCACAATTAACAGTAACACAATGGGAACATGGCCAAGTGAAGTTCGCTGGGACAGGGTAAGGTGAGAGACCAGATGACTAACAAAATTGACTTTCAGACTGAGGCATCTGAATGTTACCTTACACCCAAAGAGCACTTACTTCTCTAAAAGTATGACCGCATTAGCCAAAGTCAAGGCAGATTTGAGCAGTTTCTGCATATACCTGAATAACTTACACAGTCAAAGGGATAATTCAGATAAAAAACTTGAGGTATCATTAATTCAGATTGATTAATTTCATTAATTAAATTAACCAGTCAACCCCCAAAGTCACGTGTCGCCTCTGAAAAAATAAGAAATCATTTCTGCTCAAGATAAGAAAGAGAGATTACATTGCTTATGAGCTTGGAGAGCTGTGTTGCCATCTTGATGTCTGGTCTGTTGAGATCTGCACTATACGTGTGGGCGTCCTGCGCATCTTTTCTATAAGAAATCTGATCAAAGAGACAATTTTGATTGAAAGAAAAAAAAAAGAAGAAATTAGTCATGTTATAGGGCTACCAATCTTAATGTCCATCACATCAATTATTCTTGCCATCATCATCTTAGAGAACACAGAGACCATAATTGTTTTTTTAATTTTTTGTATGCACATTTATTTGAATAGATACATTTTTTTTCCTACCATACCTAAGTCTCACTAGCATTATTACATGTGAACTGGAGTCATACAATCCAAAATTTGTGAGCCCGAGACTTCAGCACAAAACCAGTCTTAGAGAACCTTACGGAATTCTTCGGGAATTATCACCTGAAAAGCATGTCATCGCATGTAAATGTGTATGTACATATTCACATACAGAATATCCCCAGTGAGGGCTGTAACTTGCCCATCATACAGTCTCGACCCCCACTGGATGTAGGATAAGCCCAGCACATGAGTGTAGAAAATCACTTCCTGGGGTGAGGGCGCGTGAAGCTGCTCTCTCCAGCTCTCTTTTTCTTTTTCTGACTGGACTCTTAAAATGCCCATGTCTGGCAAGTCTAGTCATGAGTACTGATATTTTTATTACCTAGCAAATACCATCGCAATGACTTGAGCCTCCGAAAATAAAAGCAATGACATTAAGGAACATTCATTCTCTGAATGCACGAGATACAATCAAACCAAAGTGTGGAAAATAGACATTTCAAGAGAAAAAATACATGTACATTTTACCAAGCGTACTTAAAACGATAGTGGTTATTTAGATTAACTCGACTGACAAACAGGAGGAGAAACCAGATGAGAACTGGTATAACGTCCCACAGTCAACACCTCACCAGTCTGTCCATTTCTCTGCTTCCTGAGCTCAGTCATGAGCTGAAGGAGTATTCATCTATTTTCCACCAGAAAATAGATAATTATCACCAGGGGCTGGTCGATTTGTCCATTACATTAGTTTTATTAAAGTTCTAAGGCAGGTGCTTGGGTGGCTTAGTGGGTTAAAGCCTCTGCCTTCAGCTCAGGTCATGATTCCAGGTCCTGGGATCGAGTCCCGCATCGGGCTCACTGCTTGGCAAGGAGCCTGCTTCTCCGTCTCTCTCTGCCTACTTGTGATCTCTGCCAAATAAACAAATAAAATCTTAAAAAAAATAAAAAGTTCTAAGGCAAAGGGAGTAGCAATGGTTATTTTTAGGACCCCCCCTTCATTTTTTCAAGACATAGAAACGTAGAACATAGAAATGTAAAACTGGACATGTATACAAAATGCACTATTAATTATATTTGCATGAAACAAGTATTTCTAATATTGCCTGCAAACTTTCTACAATAGCACATCTAAGGTGCTTATTCAAAAATTAGATTCCTGAGGTCCATCCCCAACCTTACATAGCAGAATTTCAGCAAATGGGGTGGAAGAATCTGCATTTTAATGAGTTCTCCTGTTGATCAATATTAGCCAGTGTTCTAGATAATATCAACGTATCTGGTTATTTTCCTTGCAGTCGTGCAGAGTTAAAAAAAAAAAAAAATTGTACTTTCTTACTCCTTTCAAAAATATCAGGTATAAGAAATGAAAGGCTCCCTACGCATTCTATTATTTTATTTCAGTGAAATATTTATATATATTTCTATTTACTCTTGTAAGGCCTTGCATTTGTCTCACCACCATGACTGTTTTTTAAACAATGTTTATAATCATGAATCTGTCTAAAAAGTGAACACAACTTCAACAGAATTAACATAATTTCAGCAAGAACATCTGTTTTCTTCAGCATTTCTGTTTTCATAGGCTTCACATTAACAAATAATTCAGGTAAGTTTTGTGCACCCGGGTAGCAAAAGAAACAGGAAAATTGCCTGAAAACTGAGTTAAATCGTTGGGTCAATTTTTTAAATCTTTAAGGATGTAAAAATTAAGCCAATTTCATTGGCTTCAAATAACCACAGGCTCATGCACCGAGGGCCAACCAACCCCCTCACCACCACCCCCCCCTCGCCACTCCGCCTGCACCCAGTTAAACACAAGCTGTGTAAACAAAAACTGGACTCTCAGGTGAAAACAAACCCAAATTACTACCCACCTACAAGACTAACTGTTCCTAAGTTACTGCATTCATACAGAAACCACAGGGGGGTAATGTCCTTTTGTTTAGAAAAGAATGAGGATAAAAATGGAAACCCTTACTTTTTGAAAAGAGCTGCAACCTTCCAGAAATCTCAGCTTCGCCTGGGTTATGTAATTATATGCTGCTCAGCCTAATGACTGCATGAAGAGAGGTGAGGGGCACAAAGGCGGCAGGAGCAGGACTCTGAATAGGGCCCCATCATCCATGTAAATTGCAAATTAGAGGCCGGCATATGTGACTCAAAACAAATATTAAGATTGACAAGAGCTGCAAATTCAAACAAGCGGACACCACAGAGCCACACAGGAGAACGGCCCGGGAGCCCCGTCACGAGCCAGATCTTCCAGAATACCACCGCGCGGGGACATCCCACAGGAACGGGGCTGTCCATGGAGAGGCACAGGGCCGTGGGCTCCTGGTCTTCCCTATCTGCAAGGAGGTCTGAACTGGTGTGGCAACATGGCTGCCCGGCGGACTGCTCATCTTCCTCCTCCTAACCTGGGTCTAAGGGGAGCTCGCCTGACATTTCTCTCACGTCTGCAATATGTCTTTGCTTCGTTCTGCAGTCTGTCAGAACCCAGGAAGAATAAAAATGGCACATGCCAGAAGAGAGATGTGGCAGGGGAAGGTCAAAGAATACATATATATTTTTTTCTATTTCCTGAATAAATTCAACTCCTAAGTGCTAACTGTATGGACACAAGGGACTGGCGTCCATCCTTCAGGCTATCTTCTCTTGATTCTCTTGACAAGATGGTGTCCTGTACAATACTGCTGAATAAGAAGAGAAAAAGAGACTCATCATTGACCCTCAAGCTTGCAAGCATCTGGGGCTGATGAAAATCATCAGCCCCAGATGGTTGCAAGCTTGAGGGTCAATGATGGATTTTGCCTTACTTTACTTAATGTCCTGTTCCCTACTGCATCCTTAGAGGATGGAAGGAAAAAACAGGAGAAGGGAGATGGGAGGAGGGAGGACACAAAAGAGAGAAGAGAGGAGGAGGGGGAAGAGAAGAAATAATGACACCAATAATAATCGCCACTTTCGACCATTTACTATGGACCAAGTAGCATATTAAGGATTTGACATTCACTGCCTCACTCACGCATTTCTTGAACGTATGACTATAAGAATTTACATTCCTTACACCAAGTTCTGTCTACTACTCTTCTATTTCAAAATTTTTCTTAATTCTTAACTATTTATTCTCATTAATGAACATTAGAGTAACTCCAGTCAGTTCCACAACAGAGACAAATGGAAATTTAGTGAGCATTACAATTCAACCTACAAAACGACTTAGGGAAATATCTCTCAATACTATTTCAGTCTGTTCCCAAGAGAAGAAGGTGTATTTCCCCACTTCTTTAAACCTTGTGTTATACCTTCAATGAAGTTTCATCATTCCCTTCTAGAGGTCCCACAAAAGGCCATAAAGCAATTATCATAAGACGATCATTTCCTTATCCCTTGATCTTATATCCAAGATAAACTACTTTTTCTTTTTAATAACATAACAATATACAATCTTATCTCTAAAGACTGATTTTAGTTTCTTTCTCAGGAACACCTGAAATGATTACCATACATGCTTGATCTCTTCCTCCTTTTTTTTCCCCCCACACTAAATTTCTTTCCTGTCCTTTTTCCATTTATCTGGGTCATTTCCCTAAGGTATGCCTTTGTAATGGACATGTGTAATTTTTGTATCCTGGGGATTTTTATTTGGAAACTGCTCTCCCTCACTCCAGGTGATTTGGTGGGCTGTCCAAGGCACCCTACCTTCTTGGTGACAGGCGTGGCCACATGACAAGCTCTCCAATCAGACATCTCATTCTTTCAGAAACCATGATCAGTAAGGGGGGCAGACACATCACCCAGGGAGGGCCAGAGTCACTGATGGATCTCGGGCTGGCGGAGAAAGAGCTGCTGTCCTTCCCTCTGGAATCAGCGGCTCTAGGGATAATTTAATTTTGGAAACACCAGCCATCATCCTGAGACCACCTAGACAGTGTCTGAAAGCAAAGCCACGCCATGGGGAGACAGAAAGAGTCCCACTGACACTGTGAGCCTCTGGATCCAGTTACCTCGAAAGGTAGCTTGAATTTCCGGTTATGTAAACCAATAAATTCTCATGTTTTCCTTAGCTAACTTGAAATGGAGTTCTGTTGCTAAACCTAGAAACTCCCGAGTAACACAGTCGCCATCTCTGGTTTTTCTGCCATGTCCAATCTGTTCTCCATTGCTTCCAATAAAGATATTAATTCTATCAAATCTGTTTTTGAATTTCTTCCTTGTCTCACCACGTTCACTTTGTCCCTCAGTTTGTACTGTCATCATTTTATCGTCTTTTAATCTCAGCTTGTTTCCTATAATCTACAGATTTTTTTTTATTATGTTCAGTTAGCCAACATAGAGCATATCATTAGTTTTTGACATACTGTTCAATGATTCATTCGTTGTGTTTAACATCTTTTGCAGTTTTTTTTTTTTTACACCTGTGCAGAAGGTCCACCATGCCAGGCATTGTTCTGAGCACTTCACATGTATGAAGGCATTAAATCATCACCCCACCTTGTTTGCTGCATTGTCTGTGTCCAACCGGGCTTCCTCAACATTCCCTCCCAGGACTGGAACCAGTTATCCGCAGTCCCCTTCCCTGTATTGTTCTGAGTTGGGCTCGGCCAATGAGAGACTCAGACTTAGGTCCTTAGTTAAGGACCAAGGTTGAGAGGTGAGGGGACAGCCAGGATGGGAATTAGGCTGGCGAGCAGACTTAAAAACATCAACTCCAGCTGGCTCAGAATCATCATTCCCTTTGCTACTCTGACGAGGGTTGATGTGATTCTTGGTGAGAAGAGACTAGAAAGGATATACATGTTAAGTTTGTGGAACAGAAGGGAGGAGCATGGCCTGTATTTCGTTATAATCTTGAAGCACTTGTGCAGTCATTCCCAAGAAACACTTGTATCCTAAACTCTCACATTAGAGAGGCCCCAGGTATCTCACAAAGGCACATGGTCTGGAAATTCTATCTCAGGCTTATTTCTGTCTGGGCATCCTGTATGTAAAAAATGAGTAAAGTATTAAATTGTAACTATTGGGATGCCTGGGTGGCTCAGACGGTTAAGCATCTGCCTTCTGCTCAGGTCACGATCCCAGGGTCCTGGCATCAAGTCCTTGCTCAGCGGGAAGCCTGCTTCTCCCTCTGTTTATCTCTCTCTCCCCCTCATGAATAAAATAAAAGTCTTTAATAAATAAATAAATAGTAAATATTATTTTTATGTGAGAATATATGCCTTTTATATACAGGTAAATGTAGGATCTGATATTCATCAGAAGGCAGAAAAGTTTTCAATCTCCTTAAAGATGAAGTAAAATACAGAACTGCATCTTTCTCATTATTATTGTTGTCATTGTTTATAAAAAGCATTTTAGAGTTCATAATCTTTTTATTCATGAGTTAATTTTACCACCACCAAAATCTTGTAAAGAAGGCAGAATGAGCATTACTAACTCTTCTGTCTCAGAGATGAGCAAAGCAGTAATGTATCTATTTTAATACTAACTCCCAAAGTGCTGTTATCATAAGTAACGTCAGGGAACCACACAGAACCATGACTGCCTCTCCAGTACCGCTTTACTGATTCATCATTTTCACTTTCTGATGGAAAAGAAATTTTATCTCTACCACTAAGAAAATATATATATCATTCTTGAAAAGAACATTAAATCTCGTTTCCCCTGCTGAATACTTCCTTCTAATGCACACTGAATTGATTACCAATATGGTCTTTTGGAGGAGTTTACCACTCCAATTTCATCACAAGTCTACTCAGACCACATCACTTACAAAACTTAAGATGGCAGTTCAAAATTTGTTTGACTTCCTTCAGAACTATTGGGTTTCGTGTCTCTGATAAGATTGATGAGAACTAATAATGTTTTACTGGGGTTTTCATTTTGAGCCCATCTTTAGGGGAAAATAACAGGATAGATTATCTCCAGTTTCTCTAATTACATCAGAAGAATTTGGCAGGGGTACATCCCTTAAGATACAAAAGGATTTAGATTGGCTGTTTTTAATCATTTCTTGATTATAATATCAACAAAATAGGTAGTTATATGGGTTTGGGATCATTTTGAACATGCCCTTCTGACCTAAGTGCTTCTTAATATAAATTTCATATGGAGTTGGCCTTTTATTCAATCTAAGGTCTGTTAATTATTTCAAATTGACTGTGAAATCATCCTAACCTCTCAAATCACCCTTTAAGATTGGAAGGGGACCAAAGAGGACTCATATTTTACAGACCTGCCCTTCTGCAAAGCCCTTTCTATATACCATCTCATTTAATACTTGAGAGAGCCCAGTGAGGTAGATATCACTGCCCCACTTTACAGATGGGAACACTGAGATTTGGAGATATTAGGGAACTTGTCCAAGATCATCCAGGCAACATGTGGTCTGACTCCAAATTCCTTTTCTACTATATGCTACAGTGGAGGGTAATTGGGTAAATGATCTCCAACCCTGTTCTATGTTCACTGAATTGGTGGGGAAGGGGAACAGAAGAGACTTGTGCCCCTAGGACTGTCTTCCTCTTAAAACTCTCAGTTACACAGAGGTGAGAAGTCAGTTGGCCCTCCCAGAAGTCCTCTCCTCATCCTCTCCTGCCTATTCATGCCTCTAAAGGCTGAGGGAGAGAACTGTTCTGTGCCCTTTGGCCATTGATAATGTTCTTATAAAAGTTTGAGCTGAAAGAAGGCAGAACGTAAAAGGTTTTAAACTGCCATTGGTCCAATTTCTCGGTTCTCTAACAGATATCAGAAAGCTGACTTGCCCTTGGTGGAAACATAAAATAAAAAGGTAAGCAAAGATGCATTGTTTCTAAGCAAATCAGATGTATGAGTGACAACACATTTTCTTTTAAATTAAATCAGGTCATTTATAGGCAGCATGTAAAGGGACATCCCACATTACCAAAGGGTAATTCTATTTGTAGATTCTCTGCAAATGGGTTTCACTGGAGTGGAGTTTTGTGGGAGACAGAGTTTCATCTTTCGTGGAGATGTACTAGCCTCACCTACAAACCAGGAAAGGTGCTTGCTTTCCTGAGGCTCTCGAGACCTCTGTTTAAATTTCATATTGTAGGGACAACAAATGTATTATTCTAATTGCTTTGACTCTAGAGGAATATCAACTACTTCACAGGTAGAATACAATTATCATTCGCACTTTCAATCTGAGTAAATAGTCTTAAACACTTTCTAAATCCTATTATATGTACAAACTTTGCATGTGAAGGTCGAGCCGAGTAGGCAGAGGAGTGTAAGTAAATACATCCTTCTCCCATAAGTACACAGTATTGAATGGAAGAGAAAAGGCCTTTATACTCTATTCCCTCAATCCCACAATCAAAGACCTTTTAAAAGAAAAGGCAGAGTTAAAATAATAACCCCAGTTCTATGATAAGGAACTTCCGTATTTGAATGTCATTGAATTATAGAGTTGGAAGCGGCCTCCCCAGGGTCCGTGTAAGGCTCTCCAGCCGCTCCCAGACCACCCCGATGCCTTCATCCCCACAGCGCCTTGCATCTGGTGATCTAAATCCTGATGATAAACTATTTTGTCCCACATTTGAAAATTTTCATTCACAATCTTGACCAATAACCAATGCCTTTTAAGAGGCAGGCAGTGGGCCTAACAAAAAGGGTGGCCTTGGGAGTTCGACTCTTTCGTCTCATTTTCTTCACCTGCAGAATGGGACTCAGTACAGGGATTTGGTGAGAGCTGGAAACAATGGGAGTCTTGGCAGAGCTCCTGCTGCTCAGCAGTGCTAGCTAAGTGGTAGTTATTCTGATTACAACTGACACTCTATAAGCGAACCGTTCTTACGAAGCATCCCCTTCCAATGGCCTTGCTGGTAATTACAGACGTGCAGCTTTCTCGTCTCTCATCTGGGTTAAACCATCTTGGGAAATTGTCTTGGTCCTAGCATATGTTTACACATTGGAGTTAAAATGTAAAAGCCTCACTCTGTTTTTTACTTAAGCATTGATCTATTGAAATTAATACCAGATAACTGTTGCCATCCCGGAAAGAGATACTGCCCAGCTGAGGCACGGGGGACAGAGTATCAGCAAAACACCATTCAGTAAGGGAGCTAAGTGGTGGGATAGGGTCCATGGGAGATGACAAAGCTGTATCAGGTACTTTCCAAAGAAAGGGAGATTCTTGACCTAACTAAGGCAGACACCTTTATCTGAACTGATCGTAGCCCTAAAAGAACCTAACGAAAAGTTCCTACATGCCTCTTAGAGAGCAGAGAACTCCTAATGGGGAGACAAATGAGCTGCCACTGAAATTTCAGGAAGAAATTATTCTTCTGGGCCACCAGGGTAGTGGTGGTCATTGAGCAAACACATGGAAGTTTTGATGCATCTGCTAACTCATAACTTTGAAAAGAATTTCTTTTCTATGGGCTTGTTTCCTCTTCCTTGGTTTCTGCTGCTAAGTTAGTCATTAGGCAGCAACTGCCATCATGTTCTCCGTGGGTCTTGACCTTGACCACTGGCTCTCTATATGTGTCCCAAAAGAGGCAATACTGGGGTATAATCTCACTAGCCTTTGTGAGTGACTCTTTCTCAGGCCAGTGATTTCTGGTGCCCTCTCTCCCAGTTCTTCTACAATTCTAGACTAGAAACTATGAAGGATTTACCATCAAGTCAAGGGTACTCTAGGAAATGCCAGCAACCCAACGGGTCCCAAGCAGAACTTCTAGTAGCTCCAAGGACCTGACACTTTGAAGATACTCCATGAGGTTTTAATGCCTTTTGATAGAATAGCTCAGATGGATTTATGACTGAAAACTGAGAGATTTAAAGACAAGATATTCTAAGTCCTTTTTGAACAGGAGAGTTATAATATGTAAATTGCAATGACATATCCACTAGCCCTGATGTGGGTAACCGCGATTTCCCAGAAAATCATGGGAGATGGTGTCCTTACGTTACTTTGGTGTTTATTGACCTCCATGGCATGTCTGATGTCAGGTGGCTCCTTCATATGGGCATAATCTGAGAATCCTCTAGCAGCATCATGTTTCTGCTTATAGGCAACCTTTAAAAACACAAACCATTGTTAGTTTCTTCAGAAGTACACTACGTTCCTACCTGTTAAATTTCAGTGTTTTGCTAGGAGTTTGTGTACTTGAGTCCCACCACCAATGGTCGTATTTGCCTAAGCCTCTGTGACAAGAGAATATACTCAGTGCTTTAATGTTGGTGCTTCAGGTTAGAATCCTAATTCTGACTCTTTCCTGCTAATTTCAACAGTCCTCAACCACAGGCATGCTGCAACCCCACTCATACTCAGCTAGCTTAAATCTCAGGGACCATTTTGGGAAACCTTTCAAATCTATGCACTCTTAGGGTCATAAATGTCCAAGGTTTAAATCTTGGGAAAGCAACGGACAAAGTTGATGAAATGACCAGACATTTAAAGGTGAATTTTTCATTTTTTGATTAATTGTTAATGACTTTCTGTAGGCACAGCTATAATATAACATAAAGCTCATTAAATGCCCCAACCTTTGGGAGAAAATAAAACATGCAGGCAGATTTCTGAGATCTGTCAAGGCCTGTCCTCTGCAAGGGAAATGAGCATCATGCCAATATCACCCATTGCTACCATTTCAATTTGTCCCCTCCTGGGATGGAGAGAAGGCGTGAGAATGATTACTTCAAAAGTAGAAATAACCAAATTCAATGACAGAGTTAGGGGGAAAAAAATCCAGAAGACAACAAAGAAATTATTCCTTTACTCACAGTCTATTCCATTATCCTATGTATTTTCTTCCCAATTTTCAGTTACTTTTGTTTTATTTTTGTAGGATTACTTATTTTCTCTTCCCTCATGAGAACATAACTACCTAGCTCGGTGAATGCTCAGAATACAAACTGGCAAAAAGTAAGGATCAAGAAATACTTGCTCAATAAATGAATGAATAAAAATAAAACAGGAACGGATGAATGAATAACTTATTTTAAAATTAATTGTAAATATATATTAAAAGTTTTATAATAAAAAGATATTATACAGAACTAGAATAACTTGACACAGGAGAATGGAGGTAATTTTAAGAGAAAAACCAGAAGAGTAGTCACAAGAACAAAATAAGATTTAATTTTTAATGGAAAGGAATAGCAGCTCAATTTAAGGAAAAACTTTTCACCAATACTAGCACCTTGAGAGCTATGCCTCTATCTTCTTACACATCTTTTAATATCCTGTGCCTCTCATACTGAATGACAGAGGGTAGAAATGTAATAAATGTTTAGTGAATGAATGAATAAATGAGTTTATTAAATATCCTCATGAACTTAAACCCCTCATGGGTTTTAATAAACAGTATTAACCATTCATTTAACTTCAGTAATACACTTGTCTAGAGGATTAAGGTGAGATTTACAAAACTAATTTTTATTTTTTATTTTTTTAAATTTATTTTTAAAATTTTTATTAACATATAAACAAAACTAATTTTTTTTTAAATTTCTTTTCAGTGTAACAGTATTCATTGTTTTTGCACCACACCCAGTGCTCCATGCAATCCGTGCCTTCTCTAATACCCACCACCTGGTTCCCCCAACCCCTTCAAAACCCTCAGATTGTTTTTCAGAGTCCATAATCTCTCACAGTTCACCTCCCCTTCCAATTTCCCTCGACTCCCTTCTCCTCTCCATCTCCCCTTGTCCTCCATGCTATTTGTTATGCTCCACAAATAAGTGAAACCATATGATAATTGACTTTCTCTGCTTGACTTATTTCACTCAGCATAATCTCTTCCAGTCCCATCCATGTTGCTACAAAAATTGGGTATTCATCCTTTCTGATGGAGGCATAATACTCCATAGTGTATATGGACCACATCTTCCTTATCCATTCGTCCGTTGAAGGGCATCTTGGTTCTTTCCACAGTTTGGCGACCGTGGCCATTGCTGCTATAAACATTGGGGTACAGATGGCCCTTCTTTTCACTACATCTGTATCTTTGGGGTAAATACCCAGTAGTGCAATGGCAGGGTCATAGGGAAGCTCTATTTTTAATTTTTTGAGGAATCTCCACACTGTTTTCCAAAGTGGCTGCACCAACTTGCATTCCCACCAACAGTGTAAGAGGGTTCCCCTTTCTCCACATCCTCTCCAACACATGTTGTTTCCTGTCTTGCTAATTTGGGCCGTTCTAACTGGTGCAAGGTGGTATCTCAATGTGGTTTTAATTTGAATCTCCCTGATGGCTAGTGATGATGAACATTTTTTCATGTGTCTGATAGCCATTTGTATGTCTTCATTGGAGAAGTGTCTGTTCATATCTTCTGCCCATTTTTTTATATGATTGTCTGTTTTGTGTGTGTTGAGTTTGAGGAGTTCTTTATAGATCCTGGATATCACCCTTTTGTCTCTACTGTCATTAGCAAATATCTTCTCACAAAACTAATTTTTAAAAATAAAATCATCACCTCTTACCATAAAGAAAGAAAGCCATCTCTTACAACTATCAATATTTAAATCTCTTCTCTGGCTCCCCCACCAAGTTCTTCTTGAAAACATTTACTGAAATGGACCTCATGCTGGGGTGTCACAGTCTCTAAATTGTGGAAGCTTTGACACAAATCCCCTCCCCTAACGAAGCCCCAATCTGTCTTCCCCTTGCGGCCAGGTAAGAAGAGTCTAGTTCAGTGGACAGAACTTCAGATATGGGCACACAGCTGTCAACGACTCCCATCTGCACTCCAGACCATCTGCATGGAGTAAGGTCCTGAAACTCTGTACCTGTGAATGCCCTTCTTTGCCCAATTTCCAATTAATCCACTCAAAATGCCCAGAATGTTCTAGATATGGTCTGACCTCTCCTAATTAGTACTATTCAGTTTAGTCTGGGTTTTGATCTCTTATGTGCTCTACCTACTATTCATGTATCCATAGATCACAGTGTTTTCCTTCTGATAGCTATGTTGAGATTTCTGTCACCTAGATTCCTTAAGCCTTATTCAGTTCTGCCCCACTCCATTCTCACATCCAATCCTGCATATCTAGTTGAATATAGGGACTCACACGCAGGACCCCCATGTTTTTCCAGGAATCACTCATCTTGTTAGACTCTGTCCATTGATTTAATCCATCAGGATATCTAATTCTCAGGAACATATCTTTACATTTTCACCATCAGTTATGTTAAAAAGAAATTCATGAAGGACCTCCATTTAAGTTGGCAAAAACATTATGTCAGTTCCATTACATTCTATATTATAATTTTGGGAGAATGGAGGAGGAGTTTAATGGGTGACCAGGTCTATTAAGCCAAGAAGAAACCTTTATCAGATTTGTTCCTTCTTCTTAAATATAAAGGAGATAGCGTGTACCTAGCTCCTTTTTGCTGGGTGCCTGGTTTAGTCTGTATGACTTGTGACTTTATAAACATAACCAACACAGCCAATCATTTGGTGGGTTATCATAGAAATGGTGAGTCATCAAGCACAATTTTAAAAAGCACTCTTTCTTTAAAAGGCTATGTAATTTTCTACTCGCAGCATTAAAAGTCATTTCATTTATAGCTGCAACGCAGCACCACTTTAGAATTAAGATTACATCAAATTGGAGGCAGCTGAACTTTATCATATTAATTTTCATCCTTAAAATAGCTAATGGAAAATTATGTCAAGCTAATACATTTTCTGATAAATTCGATTTCTTAGGATTTGTCATTATTGTGTAGCAGTTCCCTAGATTAACACTGTTTTCTTCATACCTTGAGAATCAAGGTCGCCTTGCTACTGGATATCTAACTAGTGGAGGACACTTACAATTGTCTTACAGATTTACATATAAATATGTTTCGGTAGTATAGTAGTATGTACGTTTATCTTGTATATTTAATAGCATATATATACATAAGACCTCTATACATTTCTAACTTCAGGATATTTTACAACTACTGTATCAGTAAGTGCACTGCCAGTCCCCAAGCACAGACACGTCTAGAGCTCCAGAGGCCGGACCCCGGAGCCACCACAGATAAAAACGTAGGCAGTCAAACATCTCCTGAGTCCAGATGCCTGAGTAATACCTTGTATTGCTTCTGTGATAAGAGATAATTTAGCCCCTGCCTGAAATAGCCCTGGGGAGAAGATCTCACCACTTCATGGCATGGCATGGCACGTCCATATCCAGAAATTTTCTTTGTGGTCTTTGTTTATAAGATTTTTCATGGGGGATATCTCATAAAATGGCTTCCTAAAATCTCCACATCTCTTTCTTTTTTAAAATGACTTCTCCTCAGTCATTTTCTATAAGGAGCATTAATCTAGCTCACCTCACGGTATCATTCTAGTTTGGATTAAGTTTCTGAGAATGTTTGCAAATTGGTTTTAACACAACCTTTTGATCCAGTGTCCTTGGTCTGGGAGATTTTTTCATTAGAATCCAGAACACCTGAGGTTCCAGAATGTGTCTAACCACTCTAATTTAGATTACCACAAATCGGATATGATTTGGACACAGCAAAAGGTTAGCTGTTTCATTTTCTCAGACACCGTCAAATAGTTTTACTTTCTTGCTAGTCTTATTACCAGGTAAGCTCTGAGAATTGTAATTTTAGCCACAATAAAATTGATTTACACAAACCTCAAGAAATGTTATTACATTACATCCAAATTTTATCACACGATTCCATTGAAATAGATACTTTATTCGGAATCCAGGTGTTTCCTTACTAACAAGTTCAGTGACTAATTACAACGGTGGGCAGTGTTGGGAGCACATACCCGTATTTCGCAGGGGGCATACCCCACTAGAGCATAACACATGCTAACAGAAAAAAGATAGACTCCACAATACACACTGTGGATTATCTTCCCCGTTACGTCCTACACTACACATGTTCATGTACTATAGTTCCCTTTCTGCCATGAAAAGGTGAAGAAAATTTTGCACTTACACAGCAATGAGGATGTAAATATCTGACAAGGTTACCTTCCCAAGTATAAAAATAAGAGACAATTCTTTCTTTTTTACATAATTGTTGTTTGTCACATACCGAGTGTTGGGTTGTACTTATTTGCTTTACAAAGTGGTCCATATATTATCAGCAAGTGGCTAGGTGACCAGATGTTGTGAGGGAAAAAAGGGGGACATATTAGTCATGGTCAGCCATGCAAAACGCTGGTATCATATATTTTTAGCCTCATGTTGTACAGCTTAGATCAGCTTACTGCCAAGCTGTGTACACAGAGGACATTTAAATTGGTAATAATAAAGTACTTAAAGATGTTCTGCAAAGGATAACAATGCTCAGTCTTTTTTGAGAGTACTTTATTTTCAGACTATTTTAAAATTACCTAGGCATCTTCTACTTAAAACTAAAAAGATTCTGAAGGAAGATTTCAACTTGTTTAATAAGAAAAGGAGTGGTGGAAATGGTAAGAACTAGCTGATACAGTGTGTGTTTAAGATCCCAGACTCTGAAGCCCAACTATCCATGTTCACACGTTGGCTCTGCCATTTATTGGCTGTGTGATTTCAGGCAAGTTACTTAACTCCTCTGTGCTGCGGTTTCCACGTCTCTGTAATGGGGCTATCTCATGGAGTACTTATAGGGATTAAATGATATAAATATATGTGGAATATATAGAACAGCTCCTGATACATAGTAAGCATTTCTATGTGTCTATTATTATTTTTAACCTAAAATATAGCATGAAGAATATAAACTACATAAAAGGAAATACTTCCTAAAAAAGAGAATCAACACATTCAACAAAATCCATTTTACCAGTATTTATTGACTATCTCCCTGTGTGCCAAGGACCGATGCTAAGCTCAAGGGTAGAGAAGAGAACAAGACACAGGAAGTCCCTGTTCTCATACCACTTAGGGGAGCCACGTAGCAGATTCACAGAGTTTAAAACAAAACAAAACAAAACAACTGTATTATGGAGAACACAAAACAGTTAAGATGACCAAGAAAGAGGTGAAATATTCTATTTTGAAATTCTGCTTGAAGAAATACAACAAATTAAATGTACTATGTGTTCCTTATGTTAATGTACATAAGGGGGAAATTATTCTGAATTCCAAATGAGCTTACAGGATGACAATTCTCAAGTTCATCTGCAACTTGAAATCACTAGAGCGACCACTTGCACCTGAGATACTCCAGATGAAATCCACAACCCACAGAAAAAGAAATTCAGGAACCTCTCGCCTAACTGAGGAAGCACAGACCTGTGGATCCTGAATTGAACCATTAACTCTTTTTCTTTTTTTTTTTTAAGATTTTATTGATTTATTCAACAGAGAAAGAGAGAGGTCACAAGTAGGCAGAGAAGCAGGCAGAGAGAGAGGGGGAAGCAGGCTCCCCGCTGTGCAGAGAGCCTGATGTGGGGCTCAATCCCAGGACCCTGAGATCACGACCTGAGCTGAAGGTAGAGGCTTAACCCACTGAGCCACCCAGGCACCCCAAACCATTAACTCTTAATGGGGCTTTGAATAAGCTACTGGAATGTCCTCCACTTAGAGGTCATGTGCTAAATCAGAGACAGCTTTAATATTTGCTGTCAGATTTTAATCTAAGTAAGCTGTCCTCACAAGATTGAAATTTGTTCTATTAATAGTTGTGAATGGGATTAGGAAAAACAGTATCACGTGACTAACGAATGTGTCCATCCATTTCAATTTCTGTGACATGGCAACGACTACCGACAACACATGAGTCCCCTGCTTCCAGTTTTCATCCAATATGCGATACCCAAGATAAAAACTATTTTTCCAGTACTTTCTACTACTTTGCTATGTTTAAATATATTTTTAAATATTAATATATTTTAAGGTGCTAATTATAAGTGGTTAAATTTTTATATATATGATTATATAACAATTTAGGAAAACCACACCTCACTCTGAAGATGCGTAACTTCTCTTGCAAAGACACTATCGATTGTGGCTGGCATCTGCTTATAAAGAGAATTGGAGAGGTTTGCCTTAATGGTGCCTTTGTATTTTGCCTGGGGGGGGGAAAGGAAAAAATTAATAAGCATTACTTTTTTTTTTTTACTGTTAATATTGAAAGAAAATAAAAGGAAACTTTCTTCAGAAACAGAATTATTTTAAAAACCTGAAGACCATTTAAACCTTAGATACTAGACTGAAGAACATATTCTAAAGAGAGGTAAATCTAATTTATCACAGAAAAATCTTTAAAAGGAGCCACTCAAGAAAATAATGATGACTTTTCTAATTTAACCTATATATGTTTCTAAAAGTAAATCCGTTTGTATATATTGATGTTTGACCAGCAAAGAAACACCCAAGAAAGAAGAGACACTTGAGTTGTTCCAGAAAATACAAGTTGGTAGAATGTAGTGTCTAGAGCTTGAATGTAAAGGACAGTGCTCCTTCAAATCTTTTTAACCTCCTTCTTCCACAACTGTGGTGGGAAGTGAGAATCCTTTTTTGTTGTTTCTGTGTATTCCCACCTCCAATTTGCACTGTCTCGAAGTGATCCCCCAAATTCACTACTAATAAATAGAAATGCTCCTTTAGCATTTCTCTTGGAGAGATTAGGATCAAAAAACCACAAGAGATTGCCTATTTTTTTTTTTTTTTTTTGCTCTGTAGTTAACACCTTCTGGAAAAAGAGTCAATTAGGAATGACAAACATCAAGTGAATCTTTGCACAGGAGAAGTAACAGCTAATGCAAACCAACCAAACCATGGTTTCCCACATTCTGATATTACCCCCAGTCAGAGCCAGATGTGAGCCTGGATTTATTGAGTGTAAACCCTGTGTAAACCTTGAGTTCGCACAACTCTTTGGATGTGGGTACTCAAGAAGAGAAAATTTGCCAGTTTTCCTCAAAATGTTTTCACGTCAGCGGAAGTAATCCTGAGAGTATCATGTTGATCTGTTTCCAACATAACTTATGAGACACTAAAGGTCAGTCATTTACAATAGTTTTATTCATCCTCTTTTCAAATTTATCTCTCCTAAGTGATCCAGTCACAGACAACAGAAATGTCTCCTCCCAGATTCAAATCACTGTTAACATGGTGCTTATTAATGTAGCATAATCTGCAGTTTGAAATGCTCTCAGATAGAGACTATGATTTTTCAGCTAGAAAATGAACGTAGTGCTTTTCTCTGTTTCATAGTAAGTGTCTCTGTTGAACTGATCCTACTCAAAAACAGGTTAAATTGATCTAAAATTACTTACCAAAGATACCATGTTCAGAGAATCAGCTACTAAATTTTACTTATTTCCAAAATGATATTCAACAATTTTTATCTAATATACCCATAAGGAAATAAAATAATGGCATTTCTAAAACTATTTTTCTAGTACTTTATACTTATCTAAGAAAATATCTCTTTTCAAGAGTAATTCCATATAAATATGAAAGGATCAGAGTCGAAATATAGACATATATAATAAAATAGATCAACCAGAGAGTTAATTGACATTGTGCGTAGGATTACATAATTATGTAGTTATTACCAACACTCAGTAGCACTCTCAAAAATATTATTCTCTAATTTTAATGCTCAGACTTTTATCTACATAAATAGAAAATGAAAATGCAAACCATTTTGCATGTTTTGATGCCTTACCTCAGAAATAAAAGCACCAATGTTTTTTACGTGGTTTAGCATGGGAGTGTCAGTCACAAATGTACACTTGTCCTTAGACTTTTTATACTCTTCTTTATAATGAATCTAAAAGAGAGAATAATTTACAGATGATGAGAAAGAAGAAAAACCATTTTAATGCCCCCTTTTTGAAGAGAAGAATTACTTAAGGAAGTCTGTTTTCTGAAGGAAATACTCAAATGAGGAATGATCTTCAAAACCAGCCAAATCAAGTACAGAGACATCTAGCACAGAGCTGCAAAGGTGATGAGACACGGGGTGGGGGGGGGGGGGAAGGCTGGTCTTTAGATAAGTAAGAGTCCTGTTATCATCAAGGATCACAGGGGCGGGCGCACATGGATTATGGATCCTGTCTGCCCAGCTAGCTGAGCATAATTATTCAACACTCTCATTTCATTTGACAAGTGTCCTAGTTTATTGTTACTTTCAAGCCATTGACTGAACAGTTAAGCCTACAATCAAACAAAAACATAGCTGCCTACCTCTAGGTTTAAGATAAGTAGTCATCAGGACAGATGGAACCAATTAAGAAGTAGAGGCAAAGATCAAACAAGTGAAATTACTGTTAGCATCATTACCTATGCATGCATTATTAGAGGAAGGAGCTCGAACAGTGGCCACAATGAGCTTCCTTTATATGAACTAACTCTGCTCAAATCAAACTTACCCAATTTAGGAGCATCCATAGGCCTCCTTATCTGCCTTCCCTCCCCCAACAAGAGCAGAACCTGTTCTGAAAGTTTGCCACATGGTGGAGGAGATCATTCCAGAACACTATGGGTAAACAGATGCACAAGAGAAAGCCCAGAGAAGCTGAGCTGAGCATGCTCATTCCTTCTCTCAAAGTCAGTAGTAAAAGGAGTCACTCCTTTCCCCTTGAGGAGAAGCCAGAATTGTTACTCTGGGGGGAGACACTGTAGGAACACATGAGCTGAAGTCAGGAAACTATGGACAAGGACCGAAAATGTCATCCCATTCTCACGCTAATTGACACCCAATCTGAAAACTGGTGAGGCAAAATTTATGACTAGTTGAGAGGATGAAGGTAATTTGCTAAAAGTTATATCACCCTGTAATAAAGTCATGTTTATCTACCCAACACTGTAAATACTTACGCTGAAAAAAAGGTAGGTTCCAGGTCAGATGATAAATTACATGGTCTCCCTAATTACAACCTAAAAGTGGAGTTTAGTTGACTATGTACCTGGTTCTTGAAGGACATGACTAACACGACGTTGCAACACTAACATTACACAGAGATTTTACCACAGGTAAACCTGACTTGAGGGGCATAATTCAACCTGAGGTATGACCAGACAGGAACATCTAAGCAAAGTTACTGCAAAATACCATTTCCCACTGCTGTGACTCAGGTATTAGACGCCTACCACATTAAACATTTGCTTTATTCATGAAATCAACATTGGAACATATTTATCTTATCTGAGCACTAAATTACTTTTTTTTTTCTTCTCAGAGATTAGCCATAATTTTAGGGCTCTGCAAATCACCCTCCTCAGTCACTAGTAATTAAACCGTTAATGGCAGTATGATAAATAGTAGGCTATTTTGATCCTAAGGAGAAAAAAAAAGTATCCCCGTTATATAATTAAGTGTGAGAGAAAATAACCTATCATTAGGCTTAAGTTTGGCTCATTATTTTTATCTTTCGCCACTATCTTCTTCCCCTCACAGTCACATTTTTGACTGCAGCGGTATGTGCAATGGCCACCGGCCTCTGATAAGCTCTGACCTGAGCAGAATGTTCAGGACGAGAGCACAGGATAAGGATGAAGTATTTACTTCCTTCACTGTGCCGGCAAATAGTACAGTCTTAAGTGGGGTCTCCAGTCCTTTCTCTGGTCTTTGTCCAAAAGGTACACACACACACACACACACACACACACACACACAGACACGTATTATTTGCTTATTGTAACTCCTGTTGTATTTCTTTCTTTTTTTTTTTTTTTAAGATTTTATTTATTTATCTGATAGAGTGAGAGACAGCAAGAGAGAGAACACAAGCAGGGGGAGTGGCAGAGGGAGAAGCAGGCTTTCCAAGGAGCAGGGAGCCTGATGCAGGACTCCATCTCAGGACCCTGGGATCATGGCCTAAGCTGGAGGCAGATGCTTAATGACTGAGGCCCCAAGGCACCCCTCCTATTGTACTTCTAATGAATTTTACAACATGACTGATGATAAGCAAATGATCTTACATTTTTATATAAAGAATGCCACATAGTGTTAGCTTTCCTCTACCAGGATAAAAGAAAAAACAGACAGGCGGGAACTACACCGATGAGGGACACAACATCCTAGGTGTAATAAAATCACTAAAGAGATGGCCACTTCCTAACACAGCCATAGCCCTGTCCACTGCATAGACTGCCTATGCGACCTCCTTCTTTCCAAATAACAGAACTCAAACGTATTTATGAGAATAGCCAGACCCCTGCCCCAGCCCTAGAGGATGAGTTGCTCTAAGTCAGGCATGGTTTGGTCCTTCCCCTTGGCCAGTGATTGGTCTCCCCTGGTGCCCAGCGTTGGCCACAGGACATTTGTAGAAGTCTTCCCAGTGGTGTTCCTGGTATTGCTGGTGCAAAGGGAAAAACCTTGCTGGCACGGCCCTTTGACACCTTGCTCTTCCACCTCCTCCATTCCCCAGTTACAGGGATGCAGCAGCCATGGGGTCACCACAAGGCAGTAAGTCACCATACCCAGGATGACAAAGCAGAAGGAAAGGAACCTGGGAGCCCAAAAACATCCACCGTACCAAAACTGGACCCCTTACCTCCACACTTTATTATGTGAAAACAAAAAATCCCACCTATATGTTAAGCCTCTGTGCTAGGGTCTTCCTGTCACTTGTGGCCATCTGCACTCATAACTCAGATACTATCCAAGCTACTTTCTAATGGGGTGGTGGGAGGTAGGCAAAGTTGATGACTTAATAGTCAGTAAGATACCCCAAATATTGACCTTCTGCTCTGACCGCACCCATTAATCCCACCGTGTCTCAACTACAATTAGAGTTAAATCAGTTCAGTGAGGCTTTCTCTTCTTAGCCCAGTCTTTCTTTCACTTGGTATGACCCCAGGTAATGGCTGAACTTGGATGACAGATGTAGAAATGTCTGAGAGTATTTCAACAGGCACTCCTTTTTTTTAAAAGATTCTATTTATTTATTTGAGGGAGAGAGAGGAAGAAAGAGAGAGAAAGACTTGATCAGGGGAAGGGGCAGAGGGAAGGGAGACAAGCAGATGACCCACTGAGCAGGGAGCCCAACATGGGGCTTAATTCCAGGACCCTGAGATCATGACTTGAGCCAAAGTCAGATATTTAACCGAATAAGCCACACAGGCGCCCCTCCTTTTACAGGCACTCTTAACCAAAAGTATCAAGAAAGTCTTCTCTCAAGTGGAGCCATGTTGGTTCAATGCATCCAACCCTGGAAGAAAGAACCACAGCCCCGTCACTACCTGGTAACGGGGCGGGGGACACTCAGAGCCAAAGCTGCCATCCCAGGTTCTCTTAACACAATCAGAGCTCTCTCGGGAGGAATAGCCGCAGAATCCCGATGCCTTTAGCCCTGGGAGGATTTACCCACAACAAACAATGTTCATTTGCCTGGAAAATGTCTTTCTGCTGCCACGCGAGTGAACACCCTCCAACGGTTTGAACCAAAACACTGCATCACAGGCTTCAGGCAGATGCGACCAAACTCGCTCCGCAGAAACCCTGGATGCCTAATTGACAAGAAACATACAAAAATATCCCCCTTAACCTAATACGTCCTATGGCCGCCTGACAAAAGGCTACTAGATTTCTGATTCCGATGGCTCTATATAGTTAACAGGTTTGACTTACTCAAGAAATTCACTAGGTAGTTGGCCAATAGGTCCAGAAAGAGAGAGACAGAATATCTGGGAAAATAAAAAGCATTACGTGGTTAACAGAAAAGCAAAAGAGGTGGCTTCAAAGGACCGGGTAATTTGGGGAAGTGAGTTATACAAAGGGAAACAAGGGAGAGCAAAAAAAAAAAACAAAAAAAAAACACCCGGAAAAATGCCTCACACTGATCCCACAAAGTGAAGCCACCTGACCTGAAAAACACCCATCTCTTTCTAGGGAAAACTGTGAGTTCCTAGGCTTATCTCTAGACCAGTCCTCTGTAACATTTATACCACAGAACACAGTACTCTATGAGGAGAGCCCCGCACACAGCAGGAGAGGGACGATGCAACGATGGCCATGCTCTGGGGGTCCTGAGGACCTCGTTTCAGATCTCAGGGGTGTGGCTCCCTAGCTGTGTGATCCGGTGAACAGAATGTGAGGCCGCTTCTCACGGCTTCAAGATGAAGACCCACCCATGCAGACCGGACAAACAAGACCCCAGCTTCACCGGGTGACACGGGCTACAAACAGATTGCCTCCAAACAGAGAAAAAGTCTCCGGTAAACACACAGGTGTCCCTCTGGGATACAAGGGATCAGAAAACAAACAAAACGACCTGAAGGTCTGTCTTTAAGTTTGAGACCTGGGGAAAAGCCCGTGTGCTTAATGAAATGTGGACACTAACCGAGGGCACCATAAGAAGCAGGAGAGGGCCTCGACGGGGGCTACCATCTAACTCCCCCAACCATTCGTCCACTTCTGTCTGTTTCTGCTCCATGAATGACACAACTCAAACACACATCTAGACAATGACCTAGTGATGCAGGCAACATAATAGACATGAGAACCTCCCACGTAAGTTCATCGGCTCCATATAAGGACACAGATGACGCTGACTGTGGATAAAGCACTTAGTACTTAATAAATACCTTTTCTACCAAACTTTGAAAAACTAGAAATTCTTTTGGGTCCAATACATAAAGTTCATCCAGAACATGTAAATTAAAATTTGTTTGTAAAACGATGGCACAAACTCCTCTTTTTAGTTTTGTTTTAGAGACAAAAGTAATACTTGCTCCGACTCTTTGCAGATAAATACACAAATTCCAAAAATTAAAAAAAAAGAACAGTATTTTTAAAAGTATGAAATTCTATTTTGAAACAGAAGGTGAACATGTACGCAGATATATATCAGGCCAGAGGCTGTGATCTAAATATTCAAGTCGTACAGACATTCTGCCATGCAGCATAGATCTGTAATAAACAGAAATCACTCCCACATATTTGATTTCTCCTACCTCAGAGAGGAATAACATGGCCTTGGCTTTTGTGAAATGGTAAAGGCCACGCCCCTCGCCATGAGGCTGGTTCTGCAGTCACTGAAAAGTGATCTTATCCGAAACAACTCCAACAAAATCACCTACTCACTGAAGGTGCCCCTTGAGTTCCAATGGTTTATATAATATACTTAGCTCATCCGCAATTACCCTTTAATAAAAAACATAACCACCTGGAAGAGGTACTGTTTCCGGAGTTAGGAAACTTCAGGTTTTAAATGGTAGCATTCCCATTACCAATATTAGTGTAATCAATAACAGTAAAGGTAAACTGTGCAGGGAAATCTACTGTTAAGAGCAAACACAGCAGAATGGCTGAGGCTGAGAGGGCTTTGTGCTCAATCCTTTGCCCCTCTGCTCAACTGTGTGACCCTGGCAAGATACTTAACCTCTCTGAGCCTTTGTTTCTTCACCTCTAAAATGAGAGAAACAGTGGAGTCCACCTCAGAAGCTGCAAAGCCTGGCACAGAGTCCTCGAGAAATCTTAACTTGGCTGATAATCTTGTGGTGGTCATCATTCCATCACTATTAAGAGTTTACAAAGGGGGAGCCTGGGTGGCTCAGTCGTTAAGCATCTGCCTTCAGCTCAGACCATGATCCCAGGGTCCTGGGATCGCGTCCCACATCGGGCTCCCTGCTTGGCGGGAGGCCTGCTTCTCCCTCTCCTACTCCCTCTGCTTGTGTTCCCTTTCTCGCTGTGTCTCTCTCTGTCAAATAAATAAATAAAATCTTAAAAAAAAAAAAAAGAGTTTACAAAGAACTTTCTCGTGCTATAGCTTAGTACTCCCAGGTAACAGCACAAAGAAATACTCCATTTAAAATTCTATTACATTACATGTCAAATATATGGAAAGAGTATGATTCCCACCATCCTCTGGCTCTTTCCGACAAGCCACAAAGAGACAGTCATATATAAAATGTGACTGGATGGATACAAAAGTAATTTACAGATGTAGCAGTTAATAACCGCCAACATCCCTTGAGTGCTCACCGTGTTCCGGACAGTTCACTAAACATTCCAGACGTATTACCATTACTTCTAGAAACTGGAATAGATGTTGCCCTTGAGGAAGTGAGCTCAGTCCTGTTACATAACCTGCCCCAACCTTACTGTTAAATTGATGCAGGCAGGTTGACTTCAGAGAACATGCCAACGTACTACCCCACTTCCCCAGATTGACCTCCTTTGAAAACAAACATATGTTGGGGCGCCTGGGTGGCTCAGTGGGTTAAAGCCTCTGCCCTCAGCTCAGGTCATGACCCCAGGGTCCTGGGATCAAGCCCTGCATCGAGCCCCGCAACGGGCTCTCTGCTCAGCAGGTAGCCTGCTTCCTCCTCTCTTTCTGCCTGCCTCTTTGCCTACTTGTGATCTCTCTCTGTCAAATAAATAAATAAAATATTAAAAAAAGAAAGAAAGAAAGAAAACAAAACAAACATGTGCAAAATATTCTGATCACTTTGCTCATTAACTACAACAGAAATGGCTAGTATGACGCTTGCTTCTCTACAGACCCAGGCCCTACTCACTTTTCACGGGTCATCTCTCCCCAGCACACAGAGTTCTCACCATGCAGTTCAGTAACTCAAGAACCCCAAATTATAAATGCATTTTATGTAAATATGTATTTTTTCCCCTGGTTTCAAGAACTATTGCATTCATCCGAGTCCTCAAAAAATCCCCAAACTGTTTTTTAAAAAACCATTCGTTTAGACAGAGATCCTCCTGACACAAATTCTACCCTCATACAAAGTCTAAAAGGCTTTGCAGTTCACACATGGAACATGCTCTGAAATTTCAATGCTTTATGATTTCATGCCCGAGTGACAATGAAATTCATAAGGGACACCGCTCTGGATTGAGAACACAGGGACCTGTTCCTACAGATACTCTCTATATAGGTCACCTTGAGGAAATCAATGGAAATTTCAGGACTTAGTTCCATGATCTGGAAAATTATTGTGTTTTAACAATAATTGTAGGGTTTTCTCCCCAACTCGATGATCTGATGGCATAATAATGCCACACACACATAACGAAAAATTAAAAAAAAAAAATCACTGAAGTCACTTACATCACTAATGAGCTTGGTGCATTTTCTGGCCAATTCCATCCTTAGGTCTTCAATAACAGGCTTGAAGAACACCTGTGCAGAAAAACAAAGGAAAGAAACATTTTTTCTAATGATCGGCTTAGAGGAACAAGTAGCCTTCTTTAGCTGGTGTGTTCCCATTTACCGTGTCGTCTTCATCTTCCTCTTCCTCTGTTTTTCCCTCTTCTGCCTCATCTTTTACATCCTCAAATACAAGGACCCTCATTTTTACTCTGTGTATAGAGGGTATTTTTTTCCTTCTTTTCTCTCTTTCTTTTTTCTTTTCTTTTTTTTAATTCACGAGGACACCCCCTTTCTCTGTACTATAGCACCCTTGAGCTCTTGGAGTCTCTGGTGTTCTGGCAGAAATGACCTTGCCCAGGCCTCATCCCTATTTAGCCCACACTTCACGCTCTTATCATGACTGTGTGTGAGTGGATGGATGGAACTGTGGAGGTCAGCCAGGACTAGCCTCCCAAGTGGAAATACCAGTCCAACAGGCAAAATTCAATTTTGTGACCTTTTAAAGTCAACATTCTCTAATCTGGGTAAGCAATCCAAAAGAGACCATTTATTTATATTTCACTAATTTAATTCATTCACAAAATAGTTTGAAAAAGACTTAAAGATTGTGGGAAAACAACTCCACAATGTAACACTCAAGATAGCACGGTCCAAAGCCTGTTATCTCAAAGATTTCCCAGCTCCCTCTAAATAAAGCTTTTGCTGGAGCGTCAGACATATCTCAGATTTGGTATAGTGAATCTGGATCAATCAAACTTGTGTTGTTAATCTAGGTTAAATTTTTTTATGACACAAAAACATACTTCTCACATTCTAAAAGATACTAATTAGCTGATTAAAGGCTAGTAATTTATTATGAAAAGCCCTTTGAACCACTTTAAAGAATCTATTCTGAGTTAATTATGATCGTTACTCTTATATTGCTATTGCATTCTTTTAATTGTAAACATCATTAAACACGAGAAGTTGCAGTTAACATAGGCTGATGTATCATTTAAGAATTCTAGAAACATCACTGTTTCAAAAAAATAATAACCATGCTCTTCCATTCTGCCCATTGTGTCAATTTTTATAAATTCACTAGTCTTTATATTATAAAATATTCACTATTTATGTATTCCTCAATGTGTACCTCGTGCCTGGAAAATTTTGGAAAAATAAATTATAACAGTATTTATAATGGAGTATGTGTTACCAATTATATAATTAAAAGTATATTTCTCAAAAAAAAGCTTTATTGTCAATTTAGGCAATAACAACTCATAATTTATCAGTTTGGTTATTCAAACCCAGGGTAAATTAACTTTCAGGAAATCATGACTTATCATTGTTGGACATAAAAAAATACCCCATGGTGAATAATGAAACTAGTTATAAAATACAAATTTATTCCAAATACATTATTTTAAGTAGCCAAGAATCATGCTATTTTCTCTTAATGTCATATCTAGTTTTATCTAATTGCTTTGGCCTTACCTAAACTAAAAATTCTGACAAGAAAAACATTCTAAACAGTCATTATGTATAGATTATTCTTCAAATTGTTCTTCCATGAGGCCAAAGTTCCACAGAATACTCTAGAGGGGGAAGGGGGTTTCGTAAGCAAATGTGTTTGGAAAAACCTGTATGTTCATCTCTACCCCTGTCACTTAGAGATCCACATGGCATAATGACAAGTTGGAAGCTCCAAGAAGACCCACAATCAAGAAAACTGGTTAAGTTTTATTAATCCAGTATTTCTGAAACATGAAATCCTATTCATCTAATCTAATCTACCTACTTACTGTGCATCATTTTTTAATGATTCCCCATGCTCCAGAAAATTAATGTTCTTCTGTGAAGTATTACTTAAGGGAAGCATTATCCTACTCAGAAAAGAAAAAAAAAAAAAGGTTGTATTCTAGAATAGTCTTTTCATGAAATGATTTTTGGTATAGGCTAACTTAATGGCATCACATATCCTACTCACTAGCAAAATGCCAAAAAGAAGTCCCCCAGGGTGCTGAATTTGGAAACCTTCACTTTTAAAATAACAACTATGTTATTTTAAACACAGCTATGTAGAGAATTCTACAGGGAATTTCTCCGCACATTATATTTGTTCCATAAGGGAGCAGAATGTGTGAACTCTGTTTCCCTCAAGCCTTCTGCCAAAAGACTGTTCTAATATTCTATAGAAGATCTATTACATTATCTTTATTTGGAAAGGGGGAAGACCAGTTTCTATAAGCTTTTCTAGAAAACTTCTAGAAGCATGGGGAGAAAATTTCACCAGATCTAGTTGAGATGACTTGTGCGGCTCATGGTGACATCTAATCCCCATGGGGAATTACCTGCAGTGGACTTCAGCGGCTGCTTTTTCTCATTTCCCATCATGTAATACGTCCTTATTGACTCTCCACTGTGCTGGAAGAAAATAATCTGTTGAGATTATGCACAGAAGTTCTGAAAGCAAAACCAAACACCATATGCACCGTAAACACACATTTTCCATTCGTGGATTTTAGAGTCAGAATTTTAAAGCCAGAGGGATCCTTAAGAAATCAATCTTACCAAAAGCCCTCTCTTTTACAGAGGACAAAATTAAGACCAAGAGAAGTTAATTATTTGTCTCATCTACAAAGTTACTCAATGGAATACCAGGACCAAAACTTAACCTGAGCTTTATGTTCATTCATCGAAATAAGTGTTACTATGTCAGGCACTGTGCTTGGTGCTGGGGATGTGATGGTGAATAAAGCATACTCCTGCTAAGATAAAGCAGGAAATTTGAAAAAAAAAAAACAAAACATAATTCAAGACATGCTGGATGAACTCCTTAATGGACTGTCTGGCAAGCTACATACATTATTTCTTCTGATTAAATGTATCTTTTTTTCCCCTCTCACCTGTAAGTATGATACAAAAGTCATGTAAAGTTTTCTTTAAAACATTTTAAGCCTTGCACTTTATCACAGCAAATCTCTCTTGTCAGTAGCTCCCAGATGCAACTTGGGGAATAAGAAGAAAGTTTTTCGTGGATAGCTATCCTGTTTCAAAATTCCCTATTCTCCTCTTTATTTTTTTAAACCACGTTAAATGTTGTGTTTTAATATATATTTGCACCTTGGGGCACCCCGATAAAGGAATATCTATATAACTGCTATCCCTTTTGCTTATCATGTTCTTTGTGTATATTGTCTACCTCTTACTTTAGTACTCGCCCCCACGCCCTGATACAGAATGAGACCAATGTGGGGATCACATTATTTATGGCAAGACCCTCTACTTCCAGCTATAGCTCTCCCACATCCTCTAGGGCAAATTCTCTACCCTCTCCACCCTCCCTCCACCCTAATTCTCCATAGTTAAAGAAAAAAAACCAAATTGCCAGAAGTTATTAAAAGCAAAGCACTTGAAAAATTGCAAAGCTTCTTACAAACACAAGATTTGTCAACTATCCAACAAAGGTACACAGTTCCAGGAAAAGCACCTGATAATGAAAGGGTCTTCTCTGGTCAAAGGGTAAGACTCTACAACATCAACATACTTGAAAAGGCCAGAAGAGCCCCAATAGCCTAACAGCCTAAAGATAAGGGCTCTGCTGCATATGACAATACAGAAGTCTTTTTTTTTTTTTTAAGATTTTATTTATTTGAGAAAGAGAGAGAGAGTGCACACAGCAGAGAGAGACAGGGAGAAGCAGAGTTTCCACTGAGTGGGGAGCCTGACGCGGAGCTTGATTCCAAGACTCTGGGATCATGACCTGAGTTGAAGGCGGATGCTTAACCAACTGAGCCACCCAGGTGCCCCCAGAAGTCTTTAATTTGTTTAGAGTTTGATGTTTTTGTGTAAGCAAATATATTTCCATAGCAACTGCCAAGTCCCAGGGGTAATACAGGTATTGGGACAGAGCCCCTGGCCAAGGAAACTCCTATGTACCACCAGCACCGGTCTGCAGTGCCCCACTGTCTGCAGTGTTCCCCTGTCTACAGTGCTCCCTTGTCTGCAATGCTCCCTTGCCTGTAGTGCTCCCCTGTCTGTAGTGCTCCCCTGTCTTCAATGCTCCCTGTCTGCAGTGTTCCCTTATCTGCAGTGCTCCCCTGGCTTTAGTGCTCCCTTGTCTGCATGCTCCCGTCTTCAGTGCTGCCCTGTCTGCAATGCTCCCCTGTCTGCAGTGCTCCCTGTCTGCAGTGTTCCCTTATCTGCAGTGCTCCCCTGGCTTTAGTGCTCCTTTGTCTGCAGAGCTCCCCTGTCTGCAGTGCTCCCTTGTCTTTAGTGCTCCCTTGTCTGCAATGCTCCCGTCTTCAGTGCTCCCTTGTCTACAGTGCTCCCTTGTCTGCAATGCTCCCGTCTTCAATGCTCCCCTGGCTTTAGTGCTCCCTTGTCTGCAGAGCTCCCCTGTATACAGGGCTCCCCTATATGCAATGCTCCCCTGTCTGCAGCGGTCCCTTGTCTGCAGAGCTCCTTTCTGCAATGCTCTTAAGATCACGTGCAGTAAGAATTGCCCAGATTGTGACCGTTTCATACTTATTTCACTTTTCCCCCTTTTCTTGATATTGATAGAACATGTGCTTGTTGCCAACATGGTGATGAGAGCCTTGCAAATGAAAATCCCTAATAATTAAAATAGATGGAGATTCAGTTCTGAGTTGAGGAAAACTTCCAGGGATAAACTGAAATTTTCCACTTTAAAAATTAATTCAACATTTCTTACTGCAAAATATTCCCGCTGAATGGTTCGGTGAGAGACGAATTAGCTCATCTGACTTGTTTGCCTGTCTTGGCAGTCTTTCATAGACTTGTTTTCAGTTGCCTGGGTTTTTTACATTTCTTTTTCTTTCTTTCTTTCTTTCTTTCTTTCTTTTTTTTCTTTTAATGACTATCTCCCAGAAGGTTCTTGCTTCTCAGCTGAACTCCTGGTCATTTTACTTTTGCCTCAATAGTTCCTCATGGTTTTGCAACTGTCCAAAAGAGAACTTTACTAGTAGATGAGGGGATGAAATTGTTTCTTCAAACGAGAAATGTAAGCTCTCTTGGGCAATTTGTCTTCTTTATAAAAGATGAGAGCTCCGCTTAATATTAGCCCAATCTATTTTTACAGTTTACATTCATTAAGCCCATCTTCTCCTTTTGAATGGCCATTTCATTACTGTTTGTTAATTAGAAATCAAAAGAATACAAAGCAACCTGAATAATTGTCACCATTACTAATTATGCCATTAAAATAAGATTTAATAGAATGTGTTTTCTTTTTAATTCATATTCCTGTTTTCACATGTAAAGATCCTATTCACAAATGAG